TATCTAGATACTAGAATACTAATAAATAAATTTAAAAAATTAATTTTAATTATATGCACATCATACATATAGTAAAATTAATTACAAATAAGTATATATTACTAAAATTAATATATATATATATATATATATATATATCTAATGACCCGTATCTTTTATGGATCAAGATTCGTTTTCTGCAACTCCATTCAGCAAAGCTGTGGACAGGCGCAAACCTATCTTTTTGTGACTGATAACTTTCAAACTAATGAATCTTGGCTTCTCTAAATTGGTGGCAAGAGAAACTTGGTCATGCAAAGTAGAAATCTGCGCGATGTTTATAAAATTACTTTTCATGGACATTTCTCAATAAGTTTTCATTCACTTTTTAGTTGTCACCCAGTCTGTTCCATTTCCAATTTTGGAGAAATGATTAAAATTGTGTGCTTGCGTATGCCTTCAGGAAGAGTTGGAAGAGCTGGAGAAGACACAGAAAGTCTCAGCTGCCTGTCAGGAGTATGCAAACCCATTCTTAACATCCCTCGAATTTCCTTACAACTTAGAAACTCCATTTTTTCAGAAATAAAAAGATTAACTCAAGAACCCCTCTCAAAATGCTCACTCACTGTATGTTTCTCTGCATAATGTTGCAGGTTGTTGGTACTAATAGAGGCGAAGCCGGACCCCCTTCTTCCAATGTAAATATATGCCCAGTTTGTAAATCCTTATTTTGTAAAGTCAACCATTCCTTCCATAACCAACCCACCCTTTTCAATACTGTCAATGGGAGGCATTTGTGCAATCCCTAACCTCTGTTTAATCTTTATTAATGTCTTTTTTGCTATGGCAGAACAAATGGGCCCGCAAATCCAGCATGGGACCGATGGTTTGAAGGTGCCCAAGAATCACAAGGTTGCAGATGCTGGATAGTCTGACGGTCCCTTCGCTCCTAAACTTGGATCACTTGACGTTCTGATGGAATTCTCAAAAGGGTTTCTCCTCACAAAATTTGATTTCAGCCATTTTTTCCCCCTATAAACCCAAGATTGTAGGCTTTTTACTTCCCATGTGATATAACCGTCAGTTTCATTTAAGTAAAATGTATGATACATTTTGTTGTTTATAATGCCATATGAGAAATTGTATCCTTTTGTAGGCCAACCATAAAATGCTGCATCAATTTGAGAAACTTACATACAAAAAGTTATAATCCTTTTGAGGCCAAGACTTTTTGTAGGCCAACCATAAAATGCTGCATCAATTTGAGAAACTTGCATACAATAAGTTATAATCCTTTTGAGGGCAAGACTTTTAGCTCTCATTTGCTAAGAAAATGGCTGAGAAGCTAATTTTTTAGGGGAAAAATGTGAGAGTATAATCCTTTCCAAGGGCCAAGACGAAAGCACACCATCAATGAGAGCTACGAAAAAGGCTGAGAAACTGAAACTATTCTTGTGAGGAAAATGGTAAGAGAATATAATCCTCTCCAAGGGCCAAGACCAAAACCAAAAAAGTACACCATCAATTTGCTGAGAAAACTTCATTTATGGTAACATGATAAACAAATCCTTTTTTGCCACAATAGAAAAGGTGAGAAGCTAAAAAAGATCACAACCGAAACCTGTAAAAAATGCTTTCTGCCTTTTAAGTTGTTGGCTTTCCGGTAACCCTTTGAGCTATCCACCCAAGCCCATCATATAGGCCTTCTCCAGTCAAAGCACAACATGCCTGGATATGCCAATCGTGGTTTTTGATGCTATGTAGAGAGAGAGCATCTGTGATTTCAGCAGGGGTCATGGCATCCTTCAAGTCTTGCTTGTTTGCAAAGACGAGCACAACTGCATGCTGGAGATCTTCATGGGGAAGTAGGCGAACAAGCTCATCTTTCATGATGTTGATCCTGGCTCTATCAGTGCTATCTATCACTACAATAACCGCATGGGTTCCTCTGTAATATGTCGCCCATGAAGTTCTCAATCGATCCTGCCCCCCTAAGTCCCATACCTGATAGCATTGCCATGTTACCAACAATCAGAACTTGAATAATATGAACACGAAGAGAGAGAGAGAGACCAACAATCAGAACATGAATAATATGAACACGAAGAGAGAGAGAGAGAGATTATTCTTGGTGTCAGTATTTGAATTACTCATGCAATATTCACAATTGAACCATCAAAATGTTCCTACTGAAGGGCGCATCTGGCTCCAATTTAAATCGTGGTTTGAGGTTGCATTAGAAATTGGTTTGTTTGTAACAAAATGAATTAGTTGGTTGGTAGAAATGAAGGCAATTAAGCTGGCTTTGTGGTATGTGATAGATACGGAACTGACGGTTTGTTTGCAAACAACCTGCAAATCATAAATCAACTAAATAAACGTACCTGTTTTTTTCTCACACTTGCAAACTCTATTTGCAAACAAGCTGAAAAAATCACAAATCAACTAAAAACAAGTTTTTCTCTTAGTTGCAAATGCAGTAAAACGTCAGCACTCCAAGGTCTCAAATACACCCAAAAGGGACCAAATGGAAAATACGGAGAGGAAACCACCCTAGTTTTTAATGGGGAGAACAGATCTGTACTCATACGCATGTCCTGATAAGGCTTTCCTCCCATCCTAGGTGGATAATTTAGAAGTGAGTTCCCATAAGGATTTTTTCATTAACCCCAACCAAATGTCACAATCTTACATATAAATAAAATCTTACATATAAATGTCACAAATTTTAGAGAAACAAGGATTCTACATATCAGTATTTCTAAGAAATGCAATATTCCAAGGACCACAAGGAACTCTAGACTAAAGATCAACCAGTACCAGGAATCTCTGCACCAGACTATATATTACCCTACTTGGGAATTGGGAAGGAAGCACACTGCAGCAGCTCCTAACACACATCTCATAGAAAGATCAAACAGTACTAGGAATCTTTGATGAACTGAGAAGAACGTTTCTGGATTTGTTCTCATCAATGAAGTGATGATGAAATCCTTTGGGCAGGGATGAGCCGAACCAATAGAACAAATAAGAAAGTAATATATTATTTGTTAACAGCTTCAGAAAAAAAAGAGTAGTACGTTATGTATTTGACTATGTATTTTGTATATTTGGCATCATGTATTGGACTAAACCAATGTTTTCAAACCAGAATGTTCATTGAACAGGTGACAGCACAGGTTCATTCCAAACCAGTTGGACCAGCGAGCTCGCGAGTTCATCAGTCAAACCTGTCTGGGAAAATATCATCATCATTAACAGAGCCTTTTCTAAACTATTTGGGGTCGGCTACACAAATTCTACTCCGACATTCTACTCTATCAAGGGCTATTTGGGGTCGGTTACACGAATCCTGCTCTAACATTCTGTTTTATCAAGGGCCGTACCCTCAGTGAATCCATAAGCCATCATATATATTCTCACTACTGTCCTTTTGAGCCTACCCTTTGTCCGTTTGGGGCTTTCCACACTGGCCTGAAAACATAAAATACATCTATATTATATATTCTAAAAAATATAAAGATACTCCAAACCAATAAAAAAAGGGGCCAAAACCTGTCAAAAACGCTTTAGACCGATCGATTCAACTGGTCCAACTGGCTGGACCAGCCAATTCAATGTGGCTATAACCAGATCAACCCCATCTATGAGTGGTTTTGACCAGTTGCAGGTTCATTTGATCAAAAGGTACCAGTTCAAAGCCCGGTTAGTAAAGCTTCCATAGCTACAGCCCAAAAACATTCTAGTGGATATTGCATAATGTATTAGGTTTCTCCAGGATCTCAACCATAAGCAAAATTGGACCTTCAAGTACAACCCCGTTAACTAAAATCACAGACCATTTAGACCTAAAATTGTGGCCTGAGCAAGCTGTATGCCCAAAGCTATCTAAAAATCTGGATCCACAATCCAGCGACCTAAAACTAATGTTAAAACTCAAAATTGCAACCCAGAGGTCCAAGCACCAACCAGCCCAAGTGATCCACATACAGAACCAAAATCCTTTATATCAACTGCTGCAATGATTATCGCTAGCATAAACTCCACTTTCAGTAAGTTTGTTTGTTTTAGTAGATTATCAATATAAGATTCAGCTTTAGAGATAAATTTATTAGTGCTCTACTTTGAAGGGCACCAATCTCACACTAGCATATGCTTTGCTAGTCAACTAATTCTAGATTTAGTAATTCAATAAAGAGTACCAAATAGGATTTACTATGCACCTTTAGATAAAAATGGGGATGCTGTTCATCTAACCATGTACCATATTTGAAAGGTCGAGCACTCAAACTTCCTACACCAGGTGCCTCTATCCAATGCATAAGCAATTGATATTTGGATGAAGCCAAAAATACCACTACATGTCCTACATGTTGAAGACACGCAAATTTATCCCTTCTTTTTTTTAAGAATGCGGACTGGATATATTTATAATAAGAGCTATACAAGCTTTACAATACTAATATACGTCTGTTACACTGCTTTGCATAAAATCGGGGGAGGAAACCAAAAAGCAAGAAAATCACTTACACAAGAGGGTGGGCTTTTACAAAATTGTTATTCCCCAATCAGGGTGGACTATGACAAGGCAGTTGTTTGCAGCTCCTTGTCTAGCCAAGCTGTCTGCTATGTCGTTAGCCTCATGCGATATATGGTTGAAAGTGGCTTGAGTGGCCCCACTCAGCTGGAAAATTTCTTCAAAAATTTGGTCCAGGAGCAAGGAAGACAGAGGAATGGTTCACCAATTTATGACATTTACGAATCACCTTCAACAACTAGAGTATTGGCCTCACCCATAGTTTGTACTCTCTAAAACACTGGGGTAGGGCACCAGCTTTGGCCATAGTCAAGGCGGTAATGCTTATAGGACTCGAGAAAGATAGTAAATTAACACCCATGCCATCCCTAAACAATCCCCCCACAACGGCTGCACCCAGCTTTTCAAAGGAGCATGCATCAAAGTTCAACTTAACCATATCTTTTCATTAATTCCATCAATGTTGGGCCTTCCCCTTGCCATTTTAAAGCATTCCACTTGAACCAAATCACCCCTCCAAACTGGTGCTGTATGGCCAGACCACCTAAGTCTACTTTCCCTCATCTTATCGCCTATTGGAGCCACCCCTCTATCCTTTCCTGTCTTGCCAGTCATCTATTGCAACATCCTCATCTCAACTACACATTTTATTCGTATGTTGTTTCTGGACCGCCTAACATTCCGTCCCGTAAAGCATGGATGGTCTTACAACCTTCCTATAGAACTCCCCTTATTGTTTCATTGGTATGTGATGATCACATAAGACTTCGGAAGTACATTTCTACTTCTTCCACCTAGATATAATTCTATGTGTGATATCCTCCTCAATCTCTCCATTCTTATGGATTATCAACCCAAGATATCAAAAATAATCTCTTTTAAGAACTTATTGGTCATCGATCTTAAGTAATTCCTTGTTTCTACTATTTATTACTAAACTTGCATTCTACATATTCTGTCTTAGTCTGGCTAATCTAAAAACCTTTGTATTCTATAGAGCATCCCTCCAAAGTTCTAACTTTGCGTTAATGCCGTTTCTAGTCTCATCAATCAAACTATGTCAACCGACATACACCACAATACCTCATCCAGTAGATGCCTAGATAACTCATCCTGTCATCCATAACCAAAAGAAAGAGATATGAGCTCAACGTTGATCCCTAGTGTTGGCCTACTGTCACTGAAAACTCACTTAGACTCTCACATAGTTGTCCTCATACTAGTTATCTCTCCCTTGTACATGTGACTCACCAAGTTAATATATCCTCTAGATATTCCTTTCTTTTCAACACCAACCAAAATTTCCTCACACTAATAATCCCTCCTTCGTACATATGACTCACCATGTTCATATATCAGCTAGATACTCCTTTCTTTTTCAACAAGAACCAAATTAATTTTCTAAGTATCCTATTGTATACGACTTAGTATAATTATCACTTCATTTTGCATTTTCATAGTAAAATTTGCCATCCTCACACACCAAGGAACATAAAATCAAACCAAGTACACTCAATAAATAAAAAATTCATGACTGTTAGATCACAATCGTTGCATTCATCTCTATAAGTAGCCATAGAAGGAAAACAATGCAAGTACGAGAAAGTCTGCAACTTCCCACTCAAGGAGGTTTGAAAGATCAACAAATCTTGGACATGGCTTGATAGCACACAGATGCATCCATTCTCAAAAGTCAAAACCAAACTAGATCGCCGAGGCTAGTGTTCAAATTGGATTAGGAGAAGGCCCATGATCATGTAGAGTGGCAGAAACTAGACCAGGTTCCAGACCGTATGAGTTTTGGGAGAAAACCTATTTCAGGCTGCATTGGGTCACCATACTTCTCAGTACTGATAAACAGCTGGCCAACAGGTTCTTCCCCTTGTTGCAGTGTCTCCACCAAGGTGAACCCACTCCTCTTTCCTTAATTGCCATAATTTGAGAATTTTCGACAAGTTAATTGCCATAATCCGAAAATTTTCTGCACGTCACCAAGTTAGATCTCCAACTTATACAGTCAAAAACTACTCCAAGGCTTCCCATCCTCCAATCAATGGTTATTGCTCCAGTGCATTGACCATCCACAGGCCTGAAGATAAACTTAACAAAGACCAAAATGATGGGGATATGTCTTAGTCACAACGTTGAGCAATCTTTGGCCAAGATGCTAGGTTATGGGATTCAGCCATGATAAGTGCCTCAATCTCCATCTACGTCTCGACAAACCTAGAAAGATGCAATGGGATGAGGTAGTCAAAGTTTGATAGGAAGTTCACGGCATGGAATGCCAGGTTCTTGTCAGTGGGGGGCAGGATTGCCCTCATTAAAGACATCCAATCCAGCATTCCAGTGCTTCACATGTCCCCCTTCAGGATGCCATGTCTATTCTCAAGCGACTTTTGAGTGCCTCCTGAGAGATTTCCGTTGATTAGGTTTTCTGGGGAGGGGGAGGAGGGCATATAAATTC